TCATGTCTTTGTGGTGGGAACAGAAGATAGTTTGTGAGTCGGTTATCAGGACCCGCCCTTCTTATGTCCATAATCCCACCCGGGGGGAAAGACAAAGCTCTGCGGTGACCAGGCCAGACATGAACGGTCCAGGATACGGTCGGAATCAGGTGGCTTATATGAAGACTGAGCTAAAATCCTTGTGTGATTACTTCTCCCATTGCCCACCCACACCCATGTCAAAGAGTAGCTTGCCACCACCTGCAGTTTGTCAACTGACTGATAGTTTGGAGCCTGGTGTATACAGATCTCTCCTCCCGGCTGTTTTTGGAGTCATACGGTCGAAATAATTCATTTGCAGGACTTGTAAGACCATAGTCTGATCATTGAAATGATAAAATCTCTGTGATATCATCTCACCTCGATTATAATATCACCCCGGAGAAGAAGTATTTTTACTACCCCAATAAATGACCCCCCCCCATCACCCATCACCCATCTATAAGGATATACAGAACATGCACAAAGCACAAGGCCGTGTTCACTCTACGAGAGCTTTCTCTGGGCTGCAGTTCCTCTGAGCTCCACAAGGTGGTGATCTCACCTATACCCAGGGAGAACGTCTCTATGACAGGAAGTGATGTCAGGTCCAGACATGAAGTTCTAGCTGTGAGGTAATTTTTAGACGAAGTGGAGAGGAGACATTTCTGGAACTGGCAGCACAGGAGGTGATTGTCAAAACCAGACGAGCATAAGGTGCTAGTTAAAATATTTATTAACAGTGTCTACAGGAGCAAGCAAGAATCACATACCGGAACAAGTCAAAGTCAGGAGCCGGAGTGGGTAGTCTTACAAGCCAGGTCAGGGACACGGAGATCAGCGTTGTGAGGAACAAGCTCAGGTCAGGAACACGGAGATCAGCATTGGGAGGAACAAGCCGGGTCAGGAACACAGAGATCAGCGTTGTGAGGAACAAGCTCAGGTCAGGAACACGGAGATCAGCATTGGGAGGAACAAGCCGGGTCAGGAACACAGAGATCAGCGTTGTGAGGAACAAGCTCAGGTCAGGAACACGGAGATCAGCATTGGGAGGAACAAGCCGGGTCAGGAACACAGAGATCAGCGTTGTGAGGAACAAGCTCAGGTCAGGAACACGGAGATCAGCATTGGGAGGAACAAGCCGGGTCAGGAACACAGAGATCAGCGTTGTGAGGAACAAGCTCAGGTCAGGAACACGGAGATCAGCATTGGGAGGAACAAGCCGGGTCAGGAACACAGAGATCAGCGTTGTGAGGAACAAGCTCAGGTCAGGAACACGGAGATCAGCATTGGGAGGAACAAGCCGGGTCAGGAACACAGAGATCAGCGTTGTGAGGAACAAGCTCAGGTCAGGAACACGGAGATCAGCATTGGGAGGAACAAGCCGGGTCAGGAACACAGAGATCAGCGTTGTGAGGAACAAGCTCAGGTCAGGAACACGGAGATCAGCATTGGGAGGAACAAGCCGGGTCAGGAACACAGAGATCAGCGTTGTGAGGAACAAGCTCAGGTCAGGAACACGGAGATCAGCATTGGGAGGAACAAGCCGGGTCAGGAACACAGAGATCAGCGTTGTGAGGAACAAGCTCAGGTCAGGAACACGGAGATCAGCATTGGGAGGAACAAGCCGGGTCAGGAACACAGAGATCAGCGTTGTGAGGAACAAGCTCAGGTCAGGAACACGGAGATCAGCATTGGGAGGAACAAGCCGGGTCAGGAACACAGAGATCAGCGTTGTGAGGAACAAGCTCAGGTCAGGAACACGGAGATCAGCATTGGGAGGAACAAGCCGGGTCAGGAACACAGAGATCAGCGTTGTGAGGAACAAGCTCAGGTCAGGAACACGGAGATCAGCATTGGGAGGAACAAGCCGGGTCAGGAACACAGAGATCAGCGTTGTGAGGAACAAGCTCAGGTCAGGAACACGGAGATCAGCATTGGGAGGAACAAGCCGGGTCAGGAACACAGAGATCAGCGTTGTGAGGAACAAGCTCAGGTCAGGAACACGGAGATCAGCATTGGGAGGAACAAGCCGGGTCAGGAACACAGAGATCAGCGTTGTGAGGAACAAGCTCAGGTCAGGAACACGGAGATCAGCATTGGGAGGAACAAGCCGGGTCAGGAACACAGAGATCAGCGTTGTGAGGAACAAGCTCAGGTCAGGAACACGGAGATCAGCATTGGGAGGAACAAGCCGGGTCAGGAACACAGAGATCAGCGTTGTGAGGAACAAGCTCAGGTCAGGAACACGGAGATCAGCATTGGGAGGAACAAGCCGGGTCAGGAACACAGAGATCAGCGTTGTGAGGAACAAGCTCAGGTCAGGAACACGGAAATCAGCCTTGTGAGGAACAAGTCAGGTAAGGGACAAGGAGATCAGCGTTGTGAGGAACAAGTCAGGTAAGGAACAAGGAGATCAGCGTTGTGAGGAACAAGCCGGGTCAGGAACACTGAGATCAGCGTTGTGAGGAACAAGCCAGATCAGGAACAAGGAGATCAGCGTTGTGAGGAACAAGCCAGGTCAGGAACACGGAGATCAGCATTGTGAGGAATAAGCCAGGTCAGGAACAAGGAGATCAGCGTTGTGAGGAACAAGCCAGGTCAGGAACACGGAAATCAGCCTTGTGAGGAACAAGCCAGGTCAGGAACACTGAGATCAGCCTTGTGAGGAACAAGCCAGGTCAGGAACACGGAGATCAGCGTTGTGAGGAACAAGCCAGGTCAGGAACACGGAGATCAGCGTTGTGAGGAACAAGCCAGGTCAGGAACACGGAGATCAGCGTTGTGAGGAACAAGCCGGGTCAGGAACACGGAGATCAGCGTTGTGAGGAACAAGCCGGGTCAGGAACACGGAGATCAGCGTTGTGAGGAACAAGTCGGGTCAGGAACGCGGAGATCAGCGTTATGAGGAACAAGCCAGGTCAGGAACACTGAGATCAGCGTTCTGAGGAACAAGTCAGGTCAGGAAGACGGAGATCAGTGTTGTGAGGAACAAGTCAGGTCAGGAACACGGAGATCAGCGTTGTGAGGAACAAGCCAGGTCAGGAACATGGATATCAGCGTTGTGAGGAACAAGCCAGGTCCGGAACACGGAGATCAGCCTTGTGAGGAACAATCCAGGTCAAGAACACGGATATATCAGCGCTGTGAGGAACAAGCCAGGTCAGGAACACTGATATCAGCGTTGTGAGGAACAAGCCAGGTCCGGAACACGGAGATCAGCCTTGTGAGGAACAAGCCAGGTCAGGAACACGGAGATCAGCATTGTGAGGAACAAGCTAGGTCAGGAACAGGGAGATCAGCGTTGTGAGGAACAAGCCAGGCCAGGAACACGGAGATCAGCGTTGTGAGGAACAAGCCGGGTCAGGAACATGGAGATCAGTGTTGTGAGGAACAAGCCAGGTCAGGAACATGGACATCAGCGTCGTGAGGAACAAGCCGGGTCAGGAACACGGAGATCAGCGTCGTGAGGAACAAGCCGGGTCAGGAACACGGAGATCAGCGTTGTGAGGAACAAGCCAGGTCAGGAACGCGGAGATCAGCGTTGTGAGGAACAAGCCAGGTCAGGAACACGGAGATCAGCTTTGTGAGAAACAAGCCAAGAGCCAGAGGGGAACGTTAGCCAGGATCGGGTCATACACAGAATCAGGATACTCAGAGCAGCAGGAAGACCACGCAAGGGTACGGTCAGACTGGACTGAGTGGTTTATATATAGTGAGTGGGGTGACATCATCACAGGAAACTCCCATCTGGCTCTCTCAGGTGATGTTCTCCTGTCTGGCCATAAGAGGGAGCCTGGGAGTAGTGAGCAACGTTCCATAGTCTGCTCAGACAAAGAAGGAAACACAGGTGGGTGAAATGGTAGCCAAGCCAGGATGCTGCAACACCGATAAGTCAGGGTGGAACCCTGACAGTGATGAGATGTTATTTTATATTTACACACAGTAACCCCCCCCTCATGATGTTCCTATTGGTTTCTCCATCCAGAGTTTTCCTCTTCTGAAGTCTGGTGATCATGTGACCATCACAGTGCCCCCATGTGACTCCCTAAAACCCGAGAGACCCAACATGGAGAAGATTCTAGAGGCCACCAAGAAGATGATGGAGCTGCTGACGGGAGAGGTGAGCGGTGCCGGGAATTCTGGGACATGATCCAGGAACAGACAAGGGGTGTGTCTGGATGTGTCTATTCTCTCATCTTTGGGGTTCAGGGTGAAGACCTGAGAGACTTTAAAGTTAAAGAGGAAGAAGAAGAGACGTTGGTAAGTGGAGATCAGCAGTTTATGGAGGAAGGTGGTCCTCTGTATTCCCGGGATCCCACACAGGAAGATCTCACCATCCCCCACCATGATCAGGTAGATGATGAACAATCTCTGGTGGTATCTCTGAGATCTTCACGTTATCTACATTGTAATTTTGTACTATGCTGTATATATAGAATGGAACCCTGAGTGATTCTAAAGCTGATGTCAAAGAGGAGGAGGGAGTGATGGAGGAGATTCTAAGACACAAAGATCTGTACCAGGACAACATGGAGGAGCCATCCAGCTACAGGAACCCACCAGAGAGATGTCCCCGTCCTCTGTATTCCCGGGATCCCACCCAGGAAGATCTCACCGTCCCCCGCCATGATCAGGTGGGTGGAGTTGAGGGGCGGGAACATAAAGTGATGGAACGCTCTGACATGTGGAGATGATGTGTGGACTTAAGATCTCACCGTCCCCCGCCATGATCAGGTGGGTGGAGTTGAGGGGCGGGAACATAAAGTGATGGAACGCTCTGACATGTGGAGATGACGTGTGGACTCTACAAGATGAGATCTTCTATGTGATGTCACATCATAAATACTTCTATGTCACAGATGAGACTTTCTGCCGTTCTGTTGGTTTAGGGTGAAGATCTGATGAAGATGAAAGTTGAGGGTGAAGTAGAAGAGACGTATGTGAGGGATGATCAGCGATATACGGAGGAGGCCGGGATGATGAGGACATCCATAGAGGAGGACACTCCTACACAGACCAGCACAGGTGGGTCATATGCAGGACATCTCTGGAAGACATCCCTAGAGAGACCCGGCAACAGAGAAATATCTGGTAGATGGTTCCTCCTGACCTCCAACCAGAAGACTTCTACATTCACCCACCTTAGTCTGTCATCTTCCCAACATGGGATGTCCTACACTTCCTTATTTCCTCCATCAGTCATTTAGTAATAAGAGTGGAGCTGAGCCCCACCAGAGGTCAGAGAGTGAGGATGGGGGAACCCAACCAAGATGAAGACTGGACTGATCCTGAAGACAATCGTTGGCTCTTTGATTCCTGGTTCCCCGTCACTTATTGGTTACAAAGCACTTTTAGGCTTGTTCCAGGTCATGGACTCAAAGTCCTCCAGCCAGGGACTCGGCCTGACAAATACTATTACCAGCAGGAGGTCCAGCCATGGCGTCCCCCCGTATCTCTCTCAGTACCAGGGACATTTATTAATGAAGATCTAATGTGCAGGACGGGAAACGCATTTCAAGGAAGTGACCATCACCATGCCGGAGCTCCTCAGTCCTGGGGCTCAGCTCCACTCTTATTACTAAATGACTGATGGGGGGAAATAAGAAAGTGTAGGACATCCCATGTTGGGAAGATGACAGACTAAGGTGGGTGAATGTAGAAGTCATCTGGTCAGAGGTCAGGAGGAACCATCTACCAGATCTGATCCTCCTCACCATAGCTGACTGATGTGGGCGGAGTCCTGATTTAGGTGAACCAATCCGCTCATGTCCTCCAATAATCTCTTTCTATTTGTAGTCCATGGACAGGACGTCGGGAAGATCTCAGAGGAACGTCTCTCGTTGTCTCCAGAAGATGAGGACGTCACACAGTGTAGTCCGGGAGAAGACCATAATGTCCATCAGGTGCCCCACAGTGTGGACGGACCATCGTATTCCTCTAATCCTGAGGAACCTCAAACCGGGAGGGGCGGGGCCGTCCTTCCAACAGATAAGAGGTTTCCCTGTGCTGAGTGCGGGAAATGCTTTCATTTTAATTTTGAACTTAATGCGCATAAACCATGTCATTCAGATGAGAAGCCGTATTCCTGTCCTGAGTGCGGGAAAGGTTTTTCACAGAGGTGCAATCTTTCCATGCATCAGAGATCCCACACAGGAGAGAAGCCCTTTTCCTGCACTGAGTGCGGGAAAAGTTTTACTGCACATCATTGTCTTATTGAACATCAAAGATGTCATACAGGGGAGAAGCCATATTCTTGTCCTGAATGCGGGAAATGTTTTTCACGGAAGGCTCATGTTACCAGACATGTGCAATCTCACACGGGGGAGAAGCCGTATTCTTGTCCTGAATGCGGGAAATGTTTCGCACGGAAGTCCCATGTTTCCAGACATGTGCGATCTCACACGGGGGAGAAGCCGTATCCTTGTACTGTGTGTGGGAAAGGTTTTTCACAGATGTCCGATCTTTCCATACATCAGATATCTCACACAGTGGAGAAGCCGTATTCCTGTCCTGAGTGTGGGAAAAGTTTTGCCAAAAAATCAGATTTGGATGGACACAAAAAATCTTACTGCGACACAAAGCCGTATGCCTGCTCGGAGTGTGGGAAATGTTTTTCACACAGGTGCAATCTTTCCATGCATCAGAGATCCCACACAGGGGAGAAGCCCTTTACCTGCACCGAGTGCGGGAAAAGTTTTACTGCACATCATTGTCTTATTGAACATCAAAGATCTCACACAGGGGAGAAACCATATTCTTGTCCTGAATGCAGGAAATGTTTTTCACGGAAGTCTCATGTTACCAGACATCTGATATCTCACACGGGGGAGAAGCCGTATTCCTGTCCCGAATGCAGGAAATGTTTCGCACGGAAGTCACACCTTTCCAGACATGTGCGATCTCACACGGGGGAGAAGCCGTATCCTTTTACTGCGTGTGGGAAAGGTTTCTCACAAAAGTCATCTGCTATGGAACATCAGAGACCCCACACAGCCCCCAAGGCGAATTAGTGTCTGGAGTGCGGGAAAATCCTTCTCTATATATTTGTATTATAACGATGAGATTGTTTGTATGTTGATTGATAAACGTCGTCTTCAGATTTGTATCTTCTTTTCGTTCCCTTTTTGTTCCTTTTTCTAACTCTACACGTTCGGCTCCTAATGGAGGTTTTAGCCCTCTACTTGTGTCTTGGTAGTTTTGTTTTGCCACTTTGTACTTGCTGAAGGAGCTGAAATCTCGGGGGCGGGGGCTGGGGTGTCTGTATATACGTGGATGACTGCGGTGGGAACAGAAGATGTGGTTTGTGAGTCGGTTATCAGGACCCGCCCTTCTTGTATCCATAATCCCACCCGGGGGGGAAAGACCGAGCACTGCGGTGACCAGACATGAAGGTTCCAGGATACGGTCGGAATCAGGTGGCTTATATGAAGACTGGTCCTCGTGTTTGGGTAGAAGAAGATCCAGATCATGAATGGACCCGCAGTAGAGTCATGCTCATCCTTATTTATGTACTTTCCATCCCTTCCATGTGTTACTCTGCCTGGATCTCATCATCAGACTCCGAGGCCAATGGCTACGATGGACGTCTTCAGATTTCGGGAGGACTAAGTCATCACTTGTATGTTGGGTTTGCTAGTTGGCCATTTGCTGTGAGTTTGAAGGCCACAAAGCTCCTCCTCCTTCTTCCGATGACTCCAGAACACATTGGTGAGGTGTGGGACCTGTTTCGGTTGACGTTTCTGAACATCGGGGGAGTCGGATCCTCCAGGAAGAGTAGCAGCGATCCCTATATTATGGGAAAGTGGAATCACCCGCAATGTAGACTCTGGGTCCATGGACACTGCAACCAGTGGGCCAGCATGGTGGACACCTCTAGGAGAAGGGTGACTGAGATCTCACGGCTCAGCTGGGAAGATTTGAGGCCATGTAGCAGAAAATCCAACATTTGTCTTCCAATCCCCATCACGTGTTCCCTGGAACCTCCCATAATAAAAGGAATGGGGGAGGGGCTGACCTCCCATTTACACTCCTTGTCATTTTCCACCTTTTCGGCCCCTGAAACATCTGCCCCGCAGTCAGATCTCGGTCACTTTATAGGTCCTTCTACTAAGACAAAACCTCGGAAGGCGAGTCCATCGGCTCTACCAGTGCAAGGGAACACCTCAGCCCAACGTTTGTTGTTAATGCCCCGCCCCCCTCTCCATGAGTCCTGCACCCTACAGACCAGGGGCCAAAACCATCTTCACCATCACTAGTAAAGGGCGGTGTTAAGGGATCCTTGTCCTGATGACTCACTAACCAGAGTGTGGTCCTTGTTTGGTGGAGGAGGAATGAGGGGAGAGCTCACATTGGGCAGTGCTATGAAATGGTTATCGCAGCCTGCAATACCATTGGCCACCACTGGAGGGAGGCACGCCCATATGGAGCTGACTGGACACACACAGAGGCCGACACAAATCTTGGATACAATCTGGCGCAATGTAAGGTCTGTAGACGAGCGAGAACCGCTCACTGCTGCAATTCCTCAAACTACCCCCGAGAGCTAGAACCCTGGTGCGATTACTTCTCCCATTTCCCGCCCATAGGGTAGCTTGCCACCACCTGCAGTTTGTCAGCTGACTGATAGTTTGGAGCCTGGTGTATACATGTGACTCCTCCCGGCTGTTTTTGGAGTCATACGGTTGAAAGGTTTCTTTTTCAGGACAGATTGATCATTGAAATGATAAAGTCTCCGTGATATCATCTCGCCTCCATTATAATATCACACCGGAGAAGAAGTATTTTTATTACCCCCAATAAATTACCCCCCCCCCTTCCCATCACCCATCTATAAGGATATACAGAGCATACACACACAGCACAAGGCCGAGATCACACAACGAGAGGTTTCTCGGGGATGCAGTTCCTCTGAGCTCCACCAGGTGGTGATCTCACCTACATCCAGACAGGAAGTCTCTATGGAAAATGGACAGGAAGTGATGTCACCTATAAATAAGAAGTTCCAGGTGAATTGTGAGGAAGTAGAGAGGAGACATTGCTGGAACTGGCAGCAGAGGAGGTAATAAGATATTATATTATATTTACACCCAGTAACACCCTCCCCCCGTCATGTCCGTCCTCCATGTCACCTCCCGATCTCCTCCTATTATTGTACAACCAACACAATCCGGATCATTCTCTGATATCAATGTTATCCGTCTACAGGGAGACCTTCATAGAGGACTGCACCAATGATGGAGGAGGACCGGAGTCACATGACCGAGAGGATACTAAACCTCACCCTGGAGATCATCTACCTGCTGACCGGAGAGGTGAGGAGGGTTCTGGGAGGTCACATGACCTGACCGGAGAGGTGAGAATTCTGGGAGGTCACATGACCTGACCGGAGAGGTGAGAATTCTGGGAGGTCACATGACCTGGCCGGAGAGGTGAGGAGGATTCTGGGGATTCTAACATGATGTTCCTATTGGTTTCTCCATCCAGAGTTTTCCTCTTCTGAAGTCTGGTGATCATGTGACCATCGCAGCACCCCCATGTGACTCCCTAAAACCCGAGAGACCCAACATGGAGAAGATTCTAGAAGCCACCAAGAAGATGATGGAGCTGCTGACGGGAGAGGTGAGCGGTGCCGGGGATTCTGGGACATGATCCAGGAACAGACAAGGGGTGTGTCTGGGTGGTGACGGGAGAGGTGAGCGGTGCCGGGGATTCTGGGACATGATCCAGGAACAGACAAGGGGCGTGTCTGGGTGGTGACGGGAGAGGTGAGCGGTGCCGGGGATTCTGGGACATGATCCAGGAACAGACAAGGGGCGTGTCTGGGTGGTGACGGGAGAGGTGAGCGGTGCCGGGGATTCTGGGACATGATCCAGGAACAGACAAGGGGCGTGTCTGGGTGGTGACGGGAGAGGTGAGCGGTGCCGGGGATTCTGGGACATGATCCAGGAACAGACAAGGGGCGTGTCTGGGTGGTGACGGGAGAGGTGAGCGGTGCCGGGGATTCTGGGACATGATCCAGGAACAGACAAGGGGCGTGTCTGGGTGGTGACGGGAGAGGTGGGCGGTGCCGGGGATTCTGGGACATGATCCAGGAACAGACAAGGGGCGTGTCTGGGTGGTGACGGTATCATTGTGTGTGTCAGGTTCCTATAAGGTGTCAGGATGTCTCTGTCTATCTCTCCATGGAGGAGTGGGAGTATCTAGAAGGACATCGGGATCTCTACAACGGGACCCAGGAAGATCTCACCGTCCCCCACCAAGATCAGGCAGAGAGGGCGGAGCATGCAGACCTAAAAATGCATTCTAAGCTATGAGATGATATTATTGGCTCTCCTCTTTACCTATTCTCTCATCTTTGGGGTTCAGGGTGAAGACCTGAGAGACTTTAAAGTGGAAGAAGAAGAAGAGACGTTGGTAAGTGGAGATCAGCAGTCTATGGAGGAAGGTGGTCCTCTGTATTTCCGGAATCCCACCCAGGAAGATCTCACCATCCCCCACCATGATCAGGTAGATGATGAACAATTATTTATAGTTATGATTTATACAGAAACTTGATTGTTTTAATTAATGTCTTTTATATATTCAGCGTGGAAACCTCGGCGACTATAACATTGTTGTTAAGGAAGAGTATAAAGAGGAGGATGAGGAGCACGGGGTGATGGAGGAGCTTTCTGAAGGACACAAGGACATTATGATGAAGCCACCTAATAACAGGAACCCACCAGAGAGATGTCCCCGCCCCCTGTATTCCTGGGACCCCCCCCAGGAAGATCTCACTGTCCCCCACCATGAGAGATGTCCCCACCCCCTGTATTCCCGGGATCCCACCCAGGAAGATCTCACCATCCCCCACCATGATCAGGTGGGTGGAGTTGAGGGGCGGGAACATAAAGTGATGGAACGCTGTGACATGTGGAGATGACGTGCGGACTCTACAAGATGAGATCTTCTATGTGATGTCACATCATAAATACTTCTATGTCACAGATGAGACTTTCTGCCGTTCTGTTGGTTTAGGGTGAAGATCTGATGAAGATGAAAGTTGAGGGTGAAGTAGAAGAGACGTATGTGAGGGATGATCAGCGATATACGGAGGAGGCCGGAATGATGAGGACGTCCATAGAGGAGGACACGCCTACAGAGAACAGCACAGGTGGGTCATATGCAGGACATCTCTGACCAACAACAGGAAGTGGCGGGGAAGGAGGAATCAAAGAGCCAACGATGGTCTTCAGGATCAGTCCAGTCTTCATCTTGGTTGGGTTCCCCCATCCTCACTCTCTGACCTCTGGCGGGGCTCAGCTCCACTCTTATTACTAAATGATTGATGGGGAAATAAGGAAGTGTAGGACATCCCATGTGGGGAAGATGACAGACTAAGGTGGGTGAATCTAGAAGTCATCTGGTCGGAGGTCAGGAGGAACCACCTACCAGATCTGATCCACACCAACAAAGCTGACTGATGTGGGCGGAGTCCTGGTTGAGGTGAACCAATCCGCTCATGTCCTCCAATAATCTCTTTCTATTTGTAGTCCATGGACGGGACGTCGGGAAGATCTCAGAGGAACGTCTCTCGTTGTCTCAAGAAGATGAGGACATCACGCAGTATAGTCCAGGAGAAGACCATAATGTCCATCAGGTTCCCCGCAGTGTGGATGGACCATCGCATTCCTCTTATCCTGAGGATCCTCATACTGGGAGGGGCGGGGCCGTCCTTCCAACAGAAAAGAGGTTTCCCTGTCCAGAGTGCGGGAAAAGCTTTCATTTTAATTTTGAACTTAATGCGCATAAAAGATGTCATTCAGATGAGAAGCCGTATTCCTGTCCTGAGTGCGGGAAAAGTTACAGGTGGAAACTGTCACTCGTCAGACATCTCAGGTCTCACACAGGGGAGAAGCCGTATTCCTGTCCCGAATGCGGGAAATGTTTTTCACAGACGTCCTACCTTTCCATACATCAGAGATCTCACACAGGGGAGAAGCCGTATTCCTGCACCGAGTGTGGGAAAAGTTTTGCCAAAAAATCAGATTTAGATAGACACCAAAAATCTCACTGGGACGAAAAGCCGTATTCCTGCTCGGAGTGCGGGAAACATTTTTCACAGAAGTCCCATCTTTCCATACATCAGAGATCCCACACGGGGGAGAAGCCGTATTCCTGCACCGAGTGTGGGAAAAGTTTTCCTGCACATCATTGTCTTGCTGCACATCAAAGATCTCATACAGGGGAGAAGCCATATTCTTGTACAGATTGCGGTAAAAGTTTCCGATTGAAAACGGCACTTGTCAGACATCAGACATCTCACACGGGGGAGAAGCCGTATTCCTGCCCTGAATGCGGGAAATGTTTTTCACGGAAGTCCTATGTTTCCAGACATCTGAGATCTCACACGGGGGAGAAGCCGTATCCTTGTAATGTGTGTGGGAAATGTTTCTCACAAAAGTCTTCTGTTACCGAACATCAGAGAACCCACACAGCGCTCAAGGCGAATTAGTGTCTGGAGTGCGGGAAATGCCTTCTAGATAGATAGATATATTTGTATTATAATGATGAGATTCTTTGTATGTTGATTAATAAAAGTCATCTTCAGATTTGGATTATTAAATCGTCTTTTCTTTCCCTTTTATTCCTTTTTCTACCTGTACACGTTCGGCTCATCCTGGAGGTTTTAGCCCTCTACTTGTGTCAGTAGTTTTGTTTTGCCACTTTGTACCTATTGAAGGAGGTGACTCAGGGGTGGGGGGAGGGGATCTGTATATACTCAAATTACACCGGACAACAAGTATTTTTAACAGTTTTGCCTCCTGAAGATACTTTAGGTGACTTCCATTGACCCCTTCAAGTGACCCCCATAGACTCCTCCAAGTGACCCCCATAGACTCCTCCAAGTGACCTCCATAGACGCCTCCAAGTGACCTCCATAGACCCCTTCAAGTGACCCCCATAGACTCCTCCAAGTGACCTCCATAGACCCCTCCAAGTGACCTCCATAGACCCCTTCAAGTGACCTCCATAGACTCCTCCAAGTGACCTCCATAGACCCCTTCAAGTGACCTCCATAGACCCCTTCAAGTGACCTCCATAGACCCCTCCAAGTGACCTCCATAGACCCCTTCAAGTGACCTCCATAGACCCCTCCAAGTGACCTCCATAGACCCCTTCCAAGTGACCTCCATAGACCCCTCCAAGTGACCTGCATAGATCCCTCCAAGTGACCTCCATAGACCCCTCCAAGTGACCTCCATAGACCCCTTCCAAGTGACCCCCATAGACTCCTTCAAGTGACGTAGACATTCATACGTCTCACACTCACAGTTTTTCTCCATCTTCCATATCTCTGGCAGTATTGGAGTGACCTTCCTGAAAAGTGACTACACTGATGTATAAGAGAATACCGATCCATGAGACACCAAACACACCCCATCCAGAAGACACCTTCTACCTCCTCAGAGGAATAGTAATCAAACCTGTATCTGGTATGTATTAAGTCCTCATACTATGAGGGTCTGCAGATTGTGACCTCTTATCATATGGAGACATAGACGTGCCCGGGGTGTTCTACCTCCTCAGTCTCAGCAATGATGGTAGGACCTGGATGAGGAGAACATGTAAACTTATGAAGGTGAGATGAGATCTCCATACCTCCCAATCTCAGTGGTGTTGGCACACAGTCGATCAGAAGGACACCTGGAAGGTTGTTGAGAAGTTCCATCCAATCCCGGGCAGATCTTGCCAACAATGGACATCCAGAGAGGTCACATGATCATAATGCCATCCACTCCAGTCATGTACATAGGGAGGAGACTGAGAACAGCTCATCGTCCTCCAAGAGGAGACCAGAAAAGTGAACCGCCGAGGAAAGTAGGGACAACATAGAACTACGGGGGGGGTAGGGGGGCG